TTTCTTAGGGCTACTACTGCCCTGAACAGTATTTCCCAGGTGCTCTCTGCGCACAGGAATCTAGACAGACAGAGGTAGATTTAACATTCCTTGAATCAGGGGCTCCAACTCCTTTATTGTCTCCCACCTTTTTGGGAATAAAGGTCCATGTACCCATTTGTGAGAAACTGCCTAAAATCTAGAGCTATTTATAATTTTTTTTTAGGCAGGCAGTGGTGGAGGCGCACGCCTTTAATCCCAGCACTCGGGAGGCAGAGCCAGGCTGATCTTTGTGAGTTCGAGGCCAGCCTGGTCTACAGAGTGAGTTCCAGGACAGGCACAAAGTTACACAGAGAAACCTTGTCTCTAAATAAAATTGGTTTTCGGTGCTAGGGATTGGAGTCAGTGTTTGCTTTCGTGGTAAGCACGTGTTCAATCACTGCGCTATACACTCCCAGACGCTAAACTCTGAAATCATTTTGAGACAGCATTGCTGAGGGTGGCCTCAAACTCACAGCGATCCGTGTGCCTCGGCCACCTAAATGCTGTTTTTACAGACACAAGCGATGACTCTGGCTCTGATTTTTTTTTGTGGATTTTTGTTTTAATGAGACAAGGTCGCATATAGTCCAGGTTGGCCTTGAAACAGACAAGTAGCAAGGCTAGCCTCCAATGTCTGAATGCTTGATCCTGCTGCGGCATTTCACCAATACTTCGGTTAGCGGCATGCACCGTCCTCAATTTCTTTTCCTTCTTTCACTCCTTTTTTTCTTCTTCATCATCTTCTTCCTCTCCTTTTTAAATACATTATTTTGACTTTTGTTTTGTTTTGTTTTTGATTTTTTGAAACAGAGTTTCTCTGTGTAGCTTTGGTGCCTTTCCTGTAGCCCAGGATGGCCTCGAACTCACAGATATCCACCTGCCTCTGGGATTAAAGGCATGAGCCACCACTGCCTGGCTCATCGTCATCTTCTTCTTTTCCACAGTCTTGCCATGTAGCCCAGGCTAGCCTCAAACTCTCTGAAGTCCAAACACTTGGATTCCAGACCTGAGTCACCACACCCAGCCTGAAACCATTTTATTACCCAGTTTCTCTGTGTAGCTTTGGAGCCTGTCCTGGATCTTGCTCTGTAGACCAGGCTGGCCTCAAACTCACGGAGATCCACCTGGCTCTGCCTCCTGAGTGCTGGGATTAAAGGCGTGCGCCACCACGTCCGGCCCATGTATTCCATTTTAACTTCTTTTCTGATAGAGAATGTAACAGTGATGGGGCATGGTGGCATATGTCTTTAATCTCAGGAGGGGATTGGGAGGCAGAGGCAGGTGGATGGCCAGCCTGATCTGTTTAGTGAGTTCCGGGCTAGCCAGGACTACACAATCAAACTTTGTCTGAGAAGGGGGTGGGGAATGGATACACAAACACACACACACACACACACACACATATGTATATATATCCACTATGTATATGTGTATATACATATGAATGTAGATATAACAGCATAGACTCAAAGATGAACGTAATCAAGGACGACATGGAAGGCTCATCAGGGCAGTTTCCTCTTCTGCCGCTCCGATGCTTCTTGCTGCCAAGGAGACTGTAAGAAAAAGCTCCGGGCCCAAATTGGCTAAGGGGATGGAGAGGTGGGCGTTTCATTGGCTGCATTCCTAGGGCTGTTTGGGGTTTTTAGCTTTCTGAAAGGCTAAGTGTCTGTGAGCTTATTAAACTCCCAACACAGTTGTTTTTTGTTTTGTTTTGTTTTGTTTCCCCCCCAAGACAGGGTCTCACTGTGTAGCCCTGGCTGTCATGGAACTTGGTAGACCAGGTTGGCCCGGAGCAGAGATTGCCCGCCTCTGCATCCAGAGTGCTGGGATTAAAGGCCATCATTAACCGGCTTTATTTATTTATTGTTGCTCTTGTGTGTGTTGGTGTGTTGGTTGGTTTCCCCAAGGCAGGCATTCCCTGCCTCATCTCCCCTCTCATATGAGCACACTGCGGCTTGCCGGCCTCACAGGAAGAGCTAGCTCCCTTTGTCTGCTAACTCACAGACTTTCCCCATCCCTGCTTCCCTCATCCGTCCACCCAAAGCCCTCGGGTGTCTTGCAGAAACATCCCTGCCTTCCTTCGCTACCCCTTCCCATTGAGGAGTCTTCATTTGGCAATCCGTCCCCGGTCCGACTGGCTCCCTCCCTCCCTTCTCTGTTAATTACTCTTTTACTAATTAATTTTTTTCTCAGTGTCTTTGACCCAGTGGGTTTCCCGGGAATCCTTTTTTTCCCTCAGCTTCACAAAGAGGCTGAGAGAGAGAGGTTGTAAATATAAAGGGGGAAAAAAATGGATAGGCTGGTAGTAGCTCTAGGGGTCAACTTGAAACAAAGATTTAGGCGTGTGTGTGTGTGTGTGTGTGTGTGTGTGTGTGTGTTGCTCACTTCAGAGTTGTGGCGCTGAGGGGCAGGGGGAATGGGGAAAGACACGCCCATCGCCTGGCGTCCCTTTTTCTGCTCACTCACCACCTTCCCACGTTAGAATCAGTCGCTTGGGCCCCCCCATACAACCCGATTCCACCCCTGCACACCCCCACCTCCCCAGTCCCGCACCCGGCGGGCGGCCCCCTCTACAACCGTTTGTGTGTTACTAGGGTCCCTCTCTGGCCCGCTCCGCTCCCGCACACCTCCAGCCCCTGGCCGGGCTCCTCCTCTGCACGCTCCCATTGTGCACACACCTCTGCGCCTCGCTACACCTGCAGCCCCCGGCGCCGACGGCGGCTCACCTTCCAGCCTCCCTCCCACCCGCGCGCGCACACACACCTATTCTTCCACCGGGGTCCACAC